CGCTTCCCAAGGTGGCGGGGCCGCGTGGCTGCAAGCGCGAGGGCGCGGCGTCGTCGCCATCTGTCACCTGCCGAGTGAGGAGGGCGGGGGACCGCGTGCACGCGGAGGGGTTTTCCTACCGCACTCCCCCTGGCAGAGAAACTTGTGGAAAATACGTGTCGGGTGTTGAGATCTTGAGGGGAGGGGGACCGGTTCACAGGCTAAGGGCCTCAGCCCCTGCTGGCCCACTGCCGCGGGGATGGGCTTCCTGAAGCTGCTGGTGATTAAGGACTTCACAGGTGATCGGCCCCTTCATGAGGTTCAACTGCATCATCGGGCCCAATGGATCAGGTAGCCGGGCTGAGGGCATAGGGAGGGAGGGTCAGCAGGCAGCTGGTGGCCCTGCTGCTTTGCTGTGACTGTTAGGTTTTTTCTCAGGGTTTTTTTTTTTTTTCAACAGACACAAGCTGGAACACAGGAGGTTCCACTTAAATTTGAGAAGAAACTTCTTCTCAGTGAGGGTAACAGAGCACTGGACCAGGCTGCCCAGAGAGCTTGTGGAGTCTCCTTCTCTGGAGACATTCAAAACCCGCCTGGACGCCTTCCTGTGTAACCTCATCTAGGTGTTCCTGCTCCAGCAGGGGGATTGGACTAGATGATCTTTTGAGGTCCCTTCCAGTCCCTAATGTTCTGTGATTCTGTGATTCTGAGAGCACCACAGGCCTGAAGGGTGAAAATGGCAGTGGCACAGGTGCAGGCCCAGGAATAGGGCAAGCATGGCTGCACTGAATGGGTGGGCCTCTGGAAAAGAGATAGTAGTTTTGTGGGATGGTAACTGCTTTATATTTTAGACTACGAGAGCATACATTTGTAGATGTTAATCCACACTGTTGTGCCGTGGGTTCTGGAACTTTTTAAAATTTCACTTCTGAAAGCTCCCTTCAACAAATGGGATTTAAACTTTCATTTGCCAGAGAACAACGCAACCTTAGATGCGGACTGTCCAAACAAAGAGCCACAAGGACTGGCTTAGAATTTGGTCTTCGTTTCCCTAGTCTGTTAATGATTTAGTTTATTATTTAGATTTTTAGATCCTGTTGGTTCTTTGCTTAACTAATTGAAGTGAGATCTGTGAATGTAAATATCTATTGTTAGCATTATTATCATATTCTCTATCTTCCTATCCCATCCCCAGTGTTATATATTGAAAGTCCCAAACTTATGGATGTTTTTATCAGGTACTCTTCCAGTTAAATCTGCATACATTTTATAGATAAATCAAGGGGGAAAAGTGTGAGTATTGTGTAGTCTCTGAATTGAGTATCTAGTTTTCCCCTTTGTATTCTTCCCTTTCTGACATTTTGGAGAATAAGTCAAAATATTGCCAAGGTGGCAAGATTGAAGGCAGAAAAAAATTAAGCTGTCAGTAGAAATGCTCAAGACTAAAGGGGAAAAACAAAAAGAGGATTCAATGAAGATAATTTTTGTATAATGAGTATGATCAGAGAACTTTATTGCTCTGGTGAACGGATCTGGGAATGTACTTATGTTCTTTAGAACAGTGTGGAAAAGTACTAGTTATGCCATAGAGTGCTTATGCAGCAAACCTCATTGACTGCTGTACATAGAGGAAACTACCAAGTAAGGGTTATGATGTTTCTTGCTCAGTTTAAGTAATGAACTCTAGAGATCCTTGTGTAAAAAAACAAAAAAAAAAACTCAGCATGTGTGATCAAATAGCAAATGAGTTTTGTGATGATTTTTATTAGACAGGCTTATTATCTGCTGCTAGTGTGTTATATCTTAGAAATGGACTGCTTTATTATGTGCGTTTTTTCCTTAATGAAATACAGAATTAGGGTAAGAATTAATAAAGACTTTTGCATTTATTAGTATATTTTTTATAATTAATCAAATTCCTCCTTTCATTTCTGCAATGTCAAAGCTTTTTTTCCCCCTTTTTTTTAAGGAAAATCTAACATAATGGATGCTGTTAGCTTTGCGACGTGTGAAAAGATATCTAATTTGCGAGTTAAAAGTGTTCGAGAACTTATTCATGGAGCACATGTTGGAAAACCAGTTTCTTCTACAGCTAGTGTGAAGATAGTCTATTGTGAAGATGACGGGGAAGAAAAAACATTTTCAAGAATTATCCGTGGTAGGTAGGAGATTCTGTTACGTGTCATTTCAGCTGTATGATTTATAAAAAATGGAGACTTCAGAATATTAAACTTTGAATTTCAGATGCCTAATATTCTTTTGTATTTGGGTGGCTTAGGCCCGTGAATATTGTAATATTTCTGATTCAGTAGCATTTTGATAGCCAAGTGTTATGATTGAAAAACCATACTGGGGCAAAGTTAAAAAATTAAACAAGCGCCTAATACATGGTTTTTACTCTGTACTTTGATCTGTAGATTTTCACTTGGAATGTGTAGATGGTGTAGGTCCTAGAAGAGGAGATCTGACACCTTGCTGCAGGCATGAGCAATTAAATGTCTGTCAGTACCTCTTGAAAGTATGTAACTAGAATTTTCATGCAGAAAAATAAAATTACTGAAATGACTGAGGGATAATTGAAATCTGTTTTCTTCTTTGAGGAAAACGCTCGGTTAAATTGTTCCACTAGTTTAGTTCTTTTCCAATGGATTTTGTGTTGTAGCCATTTTGTAGTAATTTTTTTTTTTTTAAATTTCCTCCTGCAGGTAGTTGTTCTGAGTTTCTCTTCAATGATAAATCTGTCAGCCGGTCTACTTACATATCTGAGCTTGAAAAAGTGGGCATACTTGTCAAAGCTAGGAATTTTCTTATTTTTCAGGTGAGCATTTGAGGTACTTCATAAAGGAAATATAAGCTTTAGAGATTTTTCATAGGAGTACACAGTTATCTGTTTGACAGAAAAAAAGGCACCCCTAGCTAATTTCAAGCCAATACATTTTTTCCTGACTTCAGCCAAGAATTAAAAGACTGCAGAATGGAAATAATGGAGTTTGTGTGTACGTAAGTGCACAGTTAAGAAAGAAGCTAATTGGAAGAAATTGAGTACTTGTGTTATTCAGAGTATATAAGAAAATGTGCATCTCCTTATAAATGTTTAGTGTATTGAATTCTAGGAGTGTTATAAATAGGAAAATACAATTTCATCTTAAAACACTCTTGTTAGTCAAGATGTATGAAAATGTATAGGATTTTTTTTTGTTAAGATTGAGAGATTGAAAATCCTACTGGGTTATTAGTTTGCAAGTATTTAGCAATATAGGTCAGAAATGCCATGTACTTATGATGAATATGTTTCACAGGATTGCCTTCCTTGCAGTTCCTGAGGAAAAATTCCCAAAGAAGAACTGATTTTTCCCTTTTACAGAAATCCTGTATATGTATTCTTATTGTGGTAATGGTTTCTATAATGAGGGCATTTACCCACTATACAAGTAGAATAAAATCCCAAAACATTTCCTATACTTTACTGAAAACGGTAATTCCTTCAGATCAGTGAAGATTTGAGCAGCTAACGCATGGACAAAAACTCTGCCCCCATTAACTTTGGGAGTTATGTAATATTCTATTGCATTGATTTCAGCTGATCTGCTTTTGAAATACTGAGGAGGGGGGTGTTAATTTTTTTTCATCGATAACGAGTTTGAGTTTCTTTAAAGAGGCTTAACAAGGTTTAGTTTTGACATTCTGATATACTGGTCACTGGTTTGTGCAGATCTGTTTAGTTTGAACATGTTTTTCATGGACTCTGACAGTCTAAAATTTTTATTCATGTCATTTAATTAGGTGAGAGGTGCCTAGGTAGTATTCCTTTTGTTACTAAACTTTGCCTTGGGTTTGAATCTAAAAGTATTTCTACCCAGTTCTGTTAAATATATCAGGAGATATATCTGTACTATATGCTTTCAGAGAAGAAAGTAATCATTAAATAACAGTGATCTACCGTGCTGCATCTTTTTTTTAAATTTTGTTTTAGGGAACAGTAGAATCAATTGCAATTAAGAAGCCAAGGGAGAGAACTCAACTTTTTGAACAAATCAGTAATTCATGGGAATACGCTGAAGAGTATGAACGAAAAAAGAAAAAAATGCAACAAGCAGAAGAGGATACACAGTTTAATTATAACAAGAAAAAAAGCGTTGCGGCAGAACGCAAACAGGCGAAGATGGAGAAAGAGGAGGTAAATCAAAGTTATTCCTATTTTGAATGTTATAATCTCAGATTTTGCATCTTTTATGAACTTAAATACAGCTTTTCTTAACAAAAAACCAAACAACTTCTGTTGTTTTTCATCTAGTATGTTTTTCAGTATGGTATACAATATAATAATATAGTATAATATGAAAGGATAGAGGAATACATGTAATAAAATCTAAATAAATGAAAGTGTAGATTTGCCAGTACAATTAATTGTTGACTTACATGTTTCAGTTTTATGATTAGTGCACATTACTGGAATTAGAGCTGGTGCTACATCATCTTATATCACTTTGGAATTGAAATTAGGCTGCTAGTGATAAAAAATCCTTTTTATAAACCATAAATAAATTTTAATGTTTGTAGGCAGAGCATTACCAGATGCTTATCAAGGAACTTGATGAAGAAAGGATACAGCTGCAGCTCTTCCGGCTTTATCACAATGAAAAAAACATTGACTTTGTGAAAAACAGTTTAGACGAAAAGAATATGGAGGCTAGTATCAAGAAAGACTCTCTTTCTAGAGCAGAAGATGCATTTAGAGGCAAGAAAAAAGTGCTTGGTGTACTAAACAGAGACCAGCAGCACATGGAAAGAGAAATCAAGTAGGTTTTACAATCAGGTTCTCTCATAGTTGAGTTAAAGCATAGTCTGCACTGGGAATTGCTTGGCAGATGTGCATTTCCTGTTGAAGCAGTTGAGTGATAGCCCAATGCTATGAAAGTCAGTTTGTAGCAGTTCAAGCAAGTAATATCTAAACATTGATTTCACCTCCACCACCATGCTCAGGTTGTCAGTAATATCATTACATGAATACTTCTTTGCTATTAATTTTTTTTAAGGTTATGTTTCACTTCTTAGATTCCTATTTTCAGTGGATTTAAAAAAAAAATCACCTGTTGGTATGAAACCTTGCAGTTGACAACTGATTATTTGTTTGCATGTGTGCTTGGGAGGGAGTTGTTCTTTTTTCTTTTCTTTCTTTTTTTGATGTGGATTTGTTGTTTTGGATGTGTTTTGTGGTTATTTCTTTGTTGGGTTTTGAGTTTGTTTTGGTTTTGTCTTGTGGTTTTTTTTCCAGGACACTAGAAGCATCACTGATTCAGCAGAGAGCCCTCTATATAAAAGCAAAGGAAAACACTTCCTACCAAATCAAGAAAGTCGAAATGTCTAAAAAATCTCTAAAGGACAAGGAGAAATCATGTGATAAGGAAAAGCAGAACATAAAAGAATTAGAGATGGAACTGAATGATATTGAGAAGGCGTGGAGAATGTTTGAGAAGAAAACCGAAGAGAAACTGCAGAAAGCAGTACATATTGAGCTGAGAGAAAGTCAGGTGAATTGTGGGGGCAAAAAATACTGTTTACTAGTGAAGCCCTAAACTTCTCACTGGTGACAGAGGAACCATTGTTTCCCCAGTAACTTGTAGTTTCTAGTAATCTTTTTGCTGTTGACCTCAAACAAAAACAAAATTGTAACTTTTATTTAGAGACCGTTTCATCAGATGAAGAGAAATGATGATGCAGCCTCTTGAGGGATTGGATTATCTCCTTTCTGGGAGTAGGCAGGGAGGACGGGGAAGTCAGATCTGACAGAAGTTCCAAATGTGGAACACTTCTAGGAAGTAAATCTAAGCTGCATAGAGATTTGAAAGTTTACAGTTGTGAGATTGGAAATGGTAAGCATCTCTTATAGGCTGAGATACTTAAGGCCTTCTTTGCCTCAGTCTTTAGTAGGAAAACCAGCAGTACTCTGGATACCCAGTCCCCTGAGTGGGAAGACAGGGATGGAAAGCACAGTGAAGCCCCCACAATCCATGAAGAGGTGGATAGACATAGACATAGACATGTGTATTATGTCTTAGACATACACAAGTCTATGGGGCCAGA